ATTTCGAATTAACCCATGATAGACCGACCGGATCAGCAAGACTATAAAGCGCGTTCAAGACACAATTTGGAGTTTGTTTACCACCATACTAAGCGAAAACGTTATCTTCTTGTTGTTGAGTTTATTTTGCTTGCTAATTAATTATTAAGATTTTAAAGTTGTATAGAGTAATTAATTTAGATAGGTTTGTATTTTAATAGATAATATTTTAGTTCCTTTGGAGTAAAGTATTGTTGAATGCCCTTGACAAACATTTTCAGTCTTTCTCCAGTCTCTCAGTCAGTTCAGCGTCTCTGAGAGCGTCTCTCACAGTCTCTCAGTTATTGTCTATGTGTTTTTATGGATCTCTCACAGTCTCTATATGAGAGATTCGAACGATAAAATTATTAATTCAGAGATTCGAGTCTCTCACAGAGAGACTGAATGATAAAACTGAAAAATTGAGAGACTCGAGTCTCTCGTAGAAAGACTGGGATCTCTGAAATAAGTTGAACTTAGAAAATTTTAACCATGTTTATCGAGACACCACTTATTGAGAGATTCGAGTCTCTCGTTCAGAGACTGGATACGAAATGAGGATCTCTTTATGAGCGACTCGAGTCTCTCGTTCAGAGACGCTAAACAGCTCGGGTACCTAATTTTTTTAAATAAAAACCATATTTCTACAGGTAACTATGATCCTGGATAGAAAACAATTTTATTCTGAATTAAATGTTGTAAATTTGAAGAGCATATGTCGAAATCAGAATCACGTCACTGTATTTTATACAAAATTCTGCCTTAAAAATGAAAGTTATGATTTTTCTTATTTGAAAAATAACAAAAGTGGGAAGTTTGATCGCAAATTTAATTTTTGCCTATATACTTAATAAATAAAAAATATTTCAGTGATCAATCAAAACCATCATAGGTGGATTTTTCTCATTTCTGTAGATGTCGTCCAACACGTTGTCTGTAGTTATTCATTGAACGCTGTTTAATAGCAGCAAGTAAATTAGTCCGTGTGCTGTCAGATTTTTCTACTGCGTGCTGTTGGGAATTAAAGAGAGTGAAATCGTGATTCAACATTGTCAGCTCATACCAAAAACTAGTGTTATTTCACCTAATATATTTCGAATAGTGAGATTGAGATCGTTACTTTGGGCAATTGTATTCATATTTTTTTTCAATTTAACTCCCATAAGAGGGCTTCTAAGTAGGTCAACCCTATAGCCTGTAACGAAATACCAATCACGGAAATAATAAGAAATACATACCTGACAATTACTTAAATTAAAATTAAGAAATACTTATTACAAACACGTGAAACTCAGTACACGTGAAAGAAGTGAAACTTCTTTGGCGATCTCTATACCTTTATAACGAATAAGTAATGATTGGTGAAAGAGAGTACGAGAATTTATGTTTTCCAACATATTTTATCTTTAATCCACCTACAGAGTATTACTTTAATACGTTTGTATGTAATTCAATAACAAAAAAATGGTAAAATTTTTTATTTCTCTCCATTTAACGACCACTCTTTATAACGCCGAAAAATGTTCAGTCCCTTAAGTGTCGTTATATAGAGTTTACACTGTAATTTCAAAACAGGTGCAACTCAGTACACGTGAAAGAAGTGAAACTTCTTTGGCGATCTCTATACCTTTATAACGAATAAGTAATGATTGGTGAAAGAGAGTACGAGAATTTTCAGAATTTATGTTTTCCAACATTACTTTAATACTTTTTTATGTAATTCAATAATAAAAAAACGGTCAAATTGTTTTCGCTTCCGTTTATTTTTCCAAGTGTTTAAGAACTCGTAAACTATCAATAACTACAAGGAATTTGAATTAATACATAATAATACTCGCTCTTAAATAAATATTAATTGTTGTTAAAAAACATTTACGGTAGTATAACTGCACAAATATAACCAAAAAAATAATTTAGTACTACAGTGTGGTGAATATACATTATACTGTAATATATGAGATGCCAGACACTAACAGCTGACTCTAATACCGATATGCGATATGCTTCGCGAGACGAATCGTTGCAAAACGTGTCGTTTCATGACCTTTAGATTTTATTCTCATCGAGCCCATAAAAGTTTCACTCTAAAAATTATGTGACCCGTACTTAAATATGGAGAGTAACTTGTCAGTATTTAATTAAAAACATGGGCGGTGTTTACTATTATACAGTAAGTAGTTAAATATAAATGGTCAGTATTTAAATTCAAGTGTGGTTTAATTGACGTCACCATCATCATAAGGTCATCAGTCCTAAGGCTGGTTGGATACTCACCTCCACCCTTTCCTATCCTGACCTAATCTTCGCATTTCCCTAAAACTAGTAACAACCCGCATCCTTATCTATTTGCCAACAGTAATTTAATCTAGCTCTATCTCTACCCCTCCTAACCCCCGTTTGTGCCTCTAATATGTCTCTGACTATACCTTCATGCCTGAGAAAGTGTCCTACCCATCTTTCTCGCCTATTTCTTATTGACTTCTCTGTTCCTTTGTTCTTTCTAATACCTCTTCATTTTTAACCTTCTCTATCCACGGTATCTTCATCATTCGCCTGTAACACTACATTTCGAACGCTTCTAACTTTTTCCGCCGCGCCCACTGTCAATATTTCGCACCTGTACAGAGCCGCGCTCCAAACATACACCTTTAACAATCTTTTTCGAAGTAGAAGTACATTCTTTTTATTGATGACGACTCTATCCTATTATAGTAATCGTTAATAAAAATCAGATTTAATTAGAACAACATATTCGATCACTTTATTTTTAAGGTAAACAAGATGTCATTATTCAGCGAGTTCAGACAATAGTACTTACTGGAAAAATAGGATACATGCGCATATGCTGCATATTAGATAAGTAAGAAGCGTTGGTCCGTCTCTCTCGCTGGTTCATATCTCCCAAATTTACTCTATATTATTCAAAACTGTGCGAAGTGCTTGTTGTTATTGAAATAATTCATCTGCCAACGTTAGTGAATGAGCCCGTCTTGTAAGTTAAAAATGGAAATAAAAATTTCGCCGCTACAGGAAACAAGACGAGCGAAGAAATTATATACCTAGAGGCAATTTTGAATTCTTCTGTATATTTTATGAATACATTCATATATTATTTACTGCGCTAGCAAGAAGCAATTTTCTGTAGCTTCCTACGGCAAGCTTTCTCTTATCCCTCGAGATAAAGTGTTGCTAAATTTTATCTAACCCGAAAAAAGAGGACCGAAAAAATAGGAAGATTGATGTCGTCGTTCCGCTGAAAAAGCGTTGTTAAACTCCGCTGCTGCAGAAGTGAGTTGTAACGCCCGGCAACAAAGTTAGGTTTCTTACATATGAATTTCCTGACAAGGAAAAAGTTGGGGACTTTGCCAGGTGACGCACGCGAAAAGATACCGCAACCAACGCAGCGGTAGAATCTTATACCCGATAAAAATATTACCGACAGCGAAGAAAGTTTTGCCATGTCTTGGAAATTTAGTGACAGTTTGAATAAAGCTGATGTGTAAAACAACTACATCATATTTTATTCTCTAGGAAGGCATTAAGATGAACTGTCTCCGTTCGCCGTAAAACGTATAGTAATTTTTTATGAGGAATTTGCAAAAACACTGGGAAGTTGTACGTTTGAAACAGATGTCCCAAATATCAACATAAAGAAATAACAACGAGAACTTCCCCAATATAAGTTCAGATAACAGACTAGGTAAATATGCAGAAGGAAATGCAAGTACATAAGTACTGTTGCAAAAGGACGACATAACCCAAGTTTATAGGGTAATAAAGTATAAACTGTTCTAGTATTCAATTTTATTTTTAGTGGGAAACGTTAAAAACTTACATCAACTTTTGTATTGTAAAAGAAAAAGATTTTTGAATATCTAGTCCGTATTACTTTTAATCAACAAATTAAATGGTCAGTGTTGAATCTATTTTCGGACAGTATATAAATTTTGATCAGTATTTTATTATCAAAAAGGTTGATTCGAAAATATTAAATCGTCAATATAAAGGTATTAAACGACCCGTATAAAATTACTAAACAATCAGTATATAAATTAAATGGTCATTACAGTAACAACTTACTCAGTAAGGTTACATACGCTGAGTTAGTTTGTAGAGTATAGTTGGAACACTTTTATTAAAATACTAACTTCCTCGATTTAAATACTGACCAGTTTAATATATTACAATTTACCGTTTTGTACATAGATTTCCTACATATTAATATTAATATATATTTAATAACAATCTAATAGTAAAGCAATACAATGTAATAGTAGTATTTTTCACTTTTTTAAACGAATGTATATAAGTAGCAATTTTTCTACGGTGACTATAGTAAAAATTTAATTGAGGATTTGATTATTTATTTTGATAATGAATACAGCAGATTGTATTACGAAAATACGATATGTTTATAATTATATTAAAGAATTCCATTATTTATATTATATTGTGGATAAAATATGAGGCACTGAAACAAAGCATGCCTTGAATAAAACAATTACAGGAATTACTTTACATAAGGTAGTTGTCCACCGAGCACTGAAGTCAAAAAAGTATATTGTTCGTAGGCGTGCTCTTTTTCCTAGCGTACTACTAGAGAACTGGCAACAGTGCATGAGCGAGTCAATCGAGTCTTATTGTCCTTCGTAAGGCCACTTTCACACGGTGCGATAACGACACGAATTACTGCACGCGATTTATCGTGTCGTATCGGAACGCCGCTTTCACGTTTTGCGAGTAAGGGTGTGTTCCGAAATATAACCCAGTATACTGGCCAGTGTTGATGACGTCATGAATCGACGCCACATTGTTGAATCGTTCCGAAATATACTGTCCAGTGGGTTGAGGTCAAATTGACGCCATATTGAGAATACTGTTTGTGTTCGTTTACAACAAATTTGCTTCAAAAGTTATTAAAGTTTTTTATAATAAAAAATTTCTAAAAGTCTGATGCACACACGCCCGTTTAATATACTACTATGTCACACTTGTCTCACCAGTACAATATGGTGGCACACCCGTACAATATGGTGTCGATTAATGACGCCATCAGCACTGGCCAGTATGCTGGGTAATATTTTGGAACACACCCTAAATGTTAACGTTCCAAGTTGAAATGCGGGTCTACTTATTCTCGCAATATTGTCTATTTTAGTTGTATGTATCTAATGGCGAAAAACAGTAATTCTATTAAATCGACTATTTCGTAATTGAATGTTTCTTTCTTTGGAAAAGACATGTTAATGACTGCAAGTCGCGCGAAAAGCTTTATTGACAAAAATCTAAAGTTCTTATTGTTACCTAGGAGTCAGTGACGCAACAAAACTAGCTTGAATTGAATTATTTAAGTTGTTTTTTCGTGTTTGAATTATTCTTAAACAGTTATTGTGTAAAATAATTCGAAGTGGTCTGTATTCTGTCGAAACTGCCAGACGCGGATCGCGATTTCGATCTTTTTGAGTGGACCTTGTTGGAGCATACGTAATCCTAAAATGTAGTGTCGTGCTACAGATGGCGTTTACTGCGCCATTTGTAGTATTTTCTAAAACGCACAGATATTGTGTACTTTTCTTAGAAAATTACTGCTTCTTTTTAACATCTCCCACTTGAATATGTCTATTTTTTTTTTTTTATTTATTTTGCAACGAAAGTACAACAGACTGCTTATTATCAGTGAGAAATGAAGAGTGTACATTATATATTTATATGGGTATGTAGATCGAAGTTTTGTAACTGTTGCAAGGAATATATATTTGTACATAAAAAAGTAATTCACTCATAAATACTTCTTAAATATTGCAAAGAAAGGTTCAATATAATAATGTTTTTATAAATATGTTATGTAGAAGTTAGAGATCACACCGTTATGTGTTATTGCAGAACCTAACTACATAATTTATAAAACAATACAAATAATTTTTATAATACTCTTAGAAGATCTGTAAGAAGCAACTACTAGGCAACTATAAAAGAAAAAGCTTACAGGACAAATGTTCTTCGAGAAGGATCTTCAACATTTATAAAATTGATTTATAATTTTGTTTTAAGAACATTCTTATGACCTGGTAATACAGCAATTTTGTTCTTGTAGATTAATCGTATTATTGAGAGCA